CTTCTCTGTAAGTCGCCTCCTGTAAAAAGCCGTGGCTGCACAGAATCACCAACAAAGATGACAATTCTGGCTTAGATAGCTCACCTTTCTGTTTTTTTTTTTTCACCAATTTGAGTGAAGTTAATCTGCAAAGTATACAAGCCATCATGTATTTATGCTGAGGGAGACAACACAGTTGATTTAAAGACAGGCTCCTACATTGAACCAGGGAAGAGTCTATCTAAAGGTAAGAAGATAAATGTCCTTCAAGTTACATTCTAGACTTGATGATGTCATGGTTTCTTGGCAACAGTATGAAAACTAATTTGCCACTGCATTCTTTCAGGGTTTTTTTTTCCAACTTCCCAGTTTATGCTATAGTCCAAAATTTCCTTTGGTCTATCATCCAACAATTAATCACTGAAGTTCAATGTTCAGAGAAGAGCAACTAAAATGATCAAAGGCCTGGAGACTAAAACATAGGAAGAACAGCTGCAGGACTTGGGTTTGGCTACTCTAAAGAAAAGAAGAAACAGGGGAAACATGATAGCAGTATTCCAGTATTTGAGAGGCTGCCACAAAGAAAAGGGGGTCAATTTATTCTCCAAAGTACCAGAGGGCAGGACAAGAAACAATGGTTGGAAATTGACCAAAAAGAGAAGCAACATGGAATTAAGGAGGAACTACCTAACAGTGAGGACAATTAATCAGTGGAACAGCTTGCCTCCAGAAATCGTGGGCGCTCCATCACTGGAGGTTTTTAAGAAGAGATTACAGTCACTTGTCTGAAATGGCATAGGTTCTCCTGCTCAAGCAGGGGGCTGGACTAGAATACCTCCAAGGTCCTTCCAGCTGTATTCTATTTTATTCTGCTTAATCTTCAGCCAAGTTCAGCTAGGGTTGCCATCTGCTATAAGCAAAATCTCTCTTGAGTCAGTCAGGAGCGAACTCTTGGCAGTAAGCAGAATCAGCCTGCAATACCGCATTCTAACCATTGCATCACCACAGCTCCTACATAGGCAAACTGGTACTTTCAAGTTCTTTTGGTATTAAATCATTATTAGTCCAACAATCTAAGCTAATGACAAGGCACTCCTTGACTTGCACAACTGTTTGTTTAGCAACCATTCAATGTTACAGTGGCACTGAAAAAAAAAATCTGTGACTGGTATTTTCACTTATGACTGTTGCAGCATCCCCCAATGTGATGAAAACGCCACACTACTTGGATCTGCACATATACTACACTGATACATTACAACATCTTTGTTCTTGGGAAGCACTAGCTAAAGAACTGGCAACAGTGTTTTCACCTCTGTGTGTGTGTGTGTGTGTGTGTGTGTGTGTGTGTGTGTGTGTATGTATGTGTGTGTGTATATATATATATATATATATATATATATATATATATATATATATATATATATATATATATATCCATCGCCTGCAAGCAAGAACTGGTAGAAAATAAACAGTATTATAGAAAATGAAAAAGCGAAAGTGCTCTGGGACTTTAGAATTCAAAAAGACAAGCATTAGCCACACAACACCCCATATTTAATAACTGTTGATGAGAAAGACACAAAAAGCCTGGATGGTGGACATTGCAATACCTGGAGACAGCAGAACAGAAGGGAAAGAACTGGAGAAAATCACAAAATGTAAAGACCTGCAAATAGAAGTAAAGCATGGCAAATGAAAGCAAGCATAGTACAAATAGTAATGGATCCTTGGGTGCAATCCCAAAATAGTTGGAGCATCATTTGAACATTATTGGCATTGACAAAATCAACAAGAGTCAACTGCAAAACACAACTTTATTTGGAACAGTTTACAACCTGTGGCGGCACCTTTAATACCATCAAATGACAACATAGGTGGATAAAAATGCCAAATCTAGCCTGGCTGACTTTGTGATCAACCAATAATAACATAACTTGTATGCCACCTCACAATTATCAACCAAAGAGATTACAATAAAGTGAATAAAAATAGAGCCTGATGAAGTGTGGGGTCTTTCTCTCCCTCACCAAAGGTCTGGGTGAATGCAGTCATAATGCCATGTGCTGGTTATATGACTTAGACTTAAGAAGTTGTTACAACAATCTGATACTGCACCCCTAACAACCAAGGTATTAGCCACATCACATTGTGGCTAATGTAGATCACAAGACTGCAACCACTAGAAATCCAATGATCCATGGTGTAAATAAGGCAGCCTTCTTTGTGCCTCATTGGGGAGATGAACACTGGCCAACGGAACACTTCTCTGATATTTGGGGAAATGCTTATCTGTTCCTTTTTCATAGGAAGGACTCCACAGTTGCACCTCATAAAATGCTTCTCTTGCCTTTGGGTGCAAAAGTTTTTCCCATGTATTCACTTATTAGCAAGTTCCAATGGTTGGGGCTATATCATCTAGCTCAGCGGTAGGCAACCTTGGCTCTTTTATGACTCATAGACTTCAACTCCCAGAATTCCTGAGCCTCAGGAATTCTGGGAGTTGAAGTCCATGAGTCATAAAAGAGCCAAGGTTGCCTATCGCTGAGCTAGCTAAACAGGACTGCATCATGCAATTGACCAAGGTCAGGATTTCAGATGGTTTTGTGTATGGTGTGTGTGTGTGTGTGTGTGTGTGTGTGTGTGTGGTGTATATATGTGTGAACGGTCAAAGTCAACATATTCTAAGATTAAAATAGTAAAAGCAACCATGAAAAGATAGAAGGTTGTGCTACTTGATAGTTAACAGGATGAGCATTAATAGCCAAATTTCAGCTCACAATTCTGTGGGTCGCAAAGTTGCTTTTTCAAGAGACAGCTGGACTCTCTTGGTTTTTTCCTTGAAGACATTTTGCCGAAGAACTCAGAACTGAAGAAGCTTCTTGCATGAAAAGTGAAAAGTCTTTAAAGGAAAACAGGAAAGTCCAGTTGCCTTTTGGAAAAGCATCTTTGGGACCCACAGAATTTACTTTCATTGTGAATGCAAAATTTGGCTATTAATGCCCATCCTATTAACTATCAAGCAGCACAACCCTCTATCTTTTCATGATGGCTTTTACTATGTTAAGTTTAGAATATGTTGATTTTGACTGTTCACACACACACAGTGCACACACACACACACACACACACACACACACACAAACCCATCTGAAGTACTAACCTTGGCCAATTGCATGATGTAGTCCCATCTAGCTAGATGAAACAAAGAAAATCCAGTTCCCTTTTGAAAAAGCACCTTTGAGTCAACCATGACCTATATGATAGATATTTATATTCTGTGGGCTTCACAAATCAAGGGTAATTGGAGGCTGCAAGATCTGTTCTAAAAGTATAGTTTTTCCATGGCCAATGATTTAGAAATAGCAACTCAAGGCATTTCCCCTCCCATCTAATACTTATTACTTGTATGTTAATTCCAAGCTCAGAAGGATGTGCTAAGTGGCCCTAAACAAAGCACACCATCCATATTTAATGGCTGCATTCACATAATACATTTGCCCTTATTAGCCTTTTTTGGGTTCACCCAAAGGACAGAACAGGTTAAGGTCATCTAACATATTAGATCTCCCTCCCTATCTCTTTCTCTCTCTTTGTCCCACTCACAAAGCAATCTTAAACAAGCTTAATATTAATCAAACTAATCAATCCAAACTGGATATGTGAACGCAGCAATTAGATTTTTACCTGACCTGGTTAAGCAAATTGTGCAAACACAGCCAATGGGAATCTCAGTGATTCACCTCTTAGAATTTTGCAGCTTATTACAATATCTATTTACTTAGGTTGAATCTCATCACAGTCGCTTTGCAGCTTTAGCATTTTTAGAATATGCCCTCCCTCAAGTCAATATCCTTATATTGAAATCACTCAAGGAAAGAGTTTAGAGATAAATCACTCCTCAAAACTAACTTCTTATTTATCTTCAACTTGGTGAAGAGACAGAACACAATGACCTTTTAACAGATTCTTCCTACTCTATTTTCATCCATAGAGGATATCAAGGCTTTACCCAGTAGGGTATCTGGATCCCAAAAGCTTGCAAAAATTGAAATAATGGGGAGCTTCGAAGATGGAAACACTTTTTAAAGCTCTATGGGAAAAGCAGGCAACATCCTGATTTCTCCCCCCCCCCCCCATGCTACAGCGCATACACCAGTATCATTGTATGCACAGAGGACCCCACCAGATGTTGGCCAAGTGCAAAAGCAGCACACAGGAGAAGTGCAATGAAAACAGCCACTATCGTGTTGCAAAAACAGGTGGTGCCAAGATGCAGGAATTCACACTCTGAAATTCAGACTTTAAAATATCCTGCATGGAAGACGGCAAAGTACCTGATCTTAGAAAATAACATCACCACCACCACCACATTTAATTCAGAGGGGACAGTCACACAGCAACTTTAACTAGCTCAATTAAACAACCGTTGGTTCCGTTTGTAAAATCAAAGATCAGGATGTGTGTATCTTAGTGTATTGCGCAAACCAGCCTATGCTATGATATAATGCTATGATATATTGTGCATACCAGAAAAAGAGTTAATTTAGTAACTAGCTTTGGCAGGTGTGAGGATTCAACCAGACAGAAGCTATTGTCTTTATTCAGAAGACTGATCACTCTAACTCTACACTAATGAACAAATGTTTCATCAAGTCCCTTCCCTACCTCATACCTTCTGTCTGTAAAATATGTGTTAACCTATAAGCCCCAATCTTAAACATACTGGACACTGCCTTAAATCACATCAAAGTAGTCATCCAGGGTCTCAGGAAGAAGTATTTGATACTACTCTTTCCTTGACTCTAGATCTTTCCAACTGGAGAGGTAAGTAATGGAATTCAAGACCTTCTCCCGTGCTTGCCACTAACTGTAGGACTTGTTGACCCAGACTCTTCACATACAATCTGGTCATCAGAGTCATTTCTTACAAAGCCCCTCCCCCCCAAAAAAATAAAACAGTTGGAATCTACAAGAGAACTACGAGAGGAGTGAACCTCTCAAAGAAACATTAGACCTACCATTGAGTTGCCGGTAGACAATGTCCTCAAGAAGCGACAACCGCTTTAGCACTGCATCTTGAATGGGATTGACTGGGTGGGCTGTCAAGTTGGCCACTTCTGCTCTGGGATGGATTTCATGGAAAGCATCGCCGTTCTTCATCGCAATGGGCCTGCACTTGGCCAGGAAGAGGACAAAGCCAGCCACGGCAATCAAGTTTAAGATCAGCAAGACTTTCACTCTCCTTAGAGAAGCCATCAAGAACTTCCCAGTGTGGGACACGTGCAACTGGAGCTGCTGCTGCTGCTGCTGCTGCTGCTGCTGCTGCTTTGACAATTACTGGAAGAAGGGGGGTGGAACTTGGAGGAGGAGAACCTGGGATGGAGCCGGGTTCAAGAAGAGACTGGTGACAAGGAAACCTTCCTCATCCTTGCATCTTTGGCAAGTCTCCCTCAGTTTGCACTGTTGGGTTATTTAAAGCGACAAGTGCTGGCAGGTGGCAGGCAAGGGGAAAAGCAGACTAAATCGGAGCTCCCACTCCAGAGACGAGGGCTTGCAAGGCTGGAAAGCAAGAAAGTCATGACTCTCCGGAAGAGCTAGAAAGGAAGTTAAATAGAGAGCATCCTTTGCAGAGAGAGGGAACCAGTCCCAGAAAGATCTTCTCTCTGCCAACCTCCTCCGAACCTTCTGAGATGCTACTGGTCTTTGGGAAAAACCAAACCCCTTTGTGGGGAGGGGAGGGGAGGGAGGAGGGGAGGTCGTTGGAACTGATTTGCCACTGCAGAAGACCAAGTTCTCCAATGTCGCTGTGTGTTCCAGTCCGACTGGCTTGCCAGGGAGATAATCTAGATGAAATTCCAAAGTCCCGGGGTAGCAAAAAGAAAGAAAAAAAGGAGAGGGGGAGGACGGCAGAGAACGAGGAGGCTGCTGGATTCTGAATAAATACTTCAGGTCCTTTTTCAAGAATAAAAGAGTTGACCTAGAGAAACCCTGGGAGACAGCTACGCTTTCCTGGGGCTTTCTCTTTAGCACTGCAAGAGGAAAAAGCTGAGCAAGGCACACAGAAAGAGAGAAGAGCAAAGGACGTGTATAGAAATTTAAAAAGGATAACTTTATTTCTTGGCGGAGGGACCCGGAGAGGAGAAAAAAAAATGTTTCCTCAGTAGGAGGAACAAACTTCTAAATTATTATGATTCGGGGGTGCGGGAGGGGGGCAGGAGAAGAGAGGGAGGGAAAGTTAAGGAAGGGATGCTTTTTCTTCTCTCCACGGAGGATGCGGGGCCAACGCACAAAGCCTGTAAGCGGCTGTCGTTCCCTGCAGGAGAGGTGTCTTTTAGGAGACAAAGCAAGAGGAGAGAAAAAAAAAAGATGCTGGCAAAGAAAGAAAGAAAGAAAAAGAAAGGGGGGAGACGGGGGGAGGAGGACGGAGAGGGGGAGAGAGAGAGAGAGAGAGAGAGAGACAGAGAGAGAGAGAGAGAGAGAGAGAGAGAGAGAGAGAGAGAGAGAGAGAGACCCGAACAAATGAAAGAGAAGACCGGAGGGGAAAATCTACCGAGCGATCAAAGAAAAGCGAAAGCCCCTTCAACTCGAAAGGGAGAGTGAGCGCGCGCAAAAAGGCAACGAGGCGGTCGCGGGGAGGAGACGTTCTTCGCCGTTCTCGCTTTTCTTTCTTTTTTTTTAAAGTCTGTAGGTTGCAGCAGCAGCAGCTGGGAGACGCGGGAGAGGGTGGGGGTGGGGGGGCCGCAGGTGCTGCTAAGAGGCCCTCCTCGCCTCTTGCTTCTTCTCTCTCCAGCCCCCCTCTGGATGGCGCTCCGTCTGCCAGGCGCGCATTCCTCCCCGGAGCGCTTTGGGCGGCGCGGTCCTCTTCTGCAGCTCTCCAAAGGATGCCGGGCTGGTGCGCTGGAGAAAGCCGGGCGAGGGACCGGAGCGGCACCCCAGGAAATCAGGTCATCGTGGCCTCTGCGGAGCGCGGCCGAGAAGTCTTCCGGAGCGCAAGCCAGGAGATGGAGGAGGAGCAGCAGAGGCCGCCGGTCCCGGGGCTGCTGAGTTTGCTCCCCGGCTCGGACTTCCCATCGCCGCCGCCGCCGCCGCCGCCGCTCCTCCAGCTGCCGCGGCTGGAGCCATCCGCTTTCTCTGTGCCGGGAAAGGGGAGGGGGGAAACCCTCCCCTTTGCACGGATGGGAGATGGCGTTGCATAGAAAACCCGGGCTGGAGACCAGACGGGGAATGAGGGCGGGGAGGGGGGCGAGGGGGGCGAGCGGAGCCAGCGGAGCCCACCCCAAAGGGATGGGACCAGCTGGGCGAAATGGGTTGGGTAGGCCCCATGCCAACTTACCCTGGTTCACCGAACCAGGGCCGAGGTGAAGAGGCTAATTGGCAGGGTTGCCCTAACACAATGCATCTATGGCAGCTGCTGGGTATCTAGAGCCGGGTTTGACTTGAAGGTGGTCAGCTGATTTTTAACTTGGTTGAGTTGTGGTAAACCTTGGTTCAGTGACCCATGAGGGATATGCCGTGGGACATCTCTAGGATGTCATCCCAAGCACCAGATCCTTAAGCTGGTGTAGTAAGCAAAGCATCTCAGGGCCTCCAAGCACTTCTGCTAGCTCAGCTGGTGACCTGCTTGTGTTGGAATGGGGGAACCAATTTGGAGCTCTGCAGACTGAGAGGATGAGATTTGCAGTTCTTAATTAGATGATTTTATGAGTAGATGGAATTATAGCAATAGCACTTAGACTTATATACCACTTCATAGTGCTTTACTGCATTCTCTAAGCCGTTTACAGAGTCAGCCTATTGCCCCCCAGCAATCTGGGTCCTCATTTTACAGACCTTGGAAGGCTGAGTCAACCTTGAGCCGGTCAGGATCGAACAGCTGGCAGTCAGCAGAATTAGCCTGCAATACTGCATTCTAACCACTGTGCCACCATAGCTCTTATGCTGGGTTGTTACCTGTATTAATAGGAAATATGCAGCATCTGAGTATTACGGTACATCTTTACAGAGCCTACGCTGAAGCAGATCATGAGTGCTGCATTTATAACCAAGAACTACTGATCCAGGAGCTCCCACCCCCTACCGGACCACAGATGGCAATCTGGACAGGAGACACTACCACCCACAACGGAGGCACCGATCCATTCCAAGACGTCCACCGTTGGCGGTGAAATTCAAGGGGAGCCAACACGCTTGGGGTTTTTCCTAACCCAAGTACTCAGGTACATGGAGGAATATGGGCAGGACATTCCCAGCGACAAAGCCCGCATCCGGATCGTGCAATCGTGCAATCTGGATGGACCAGCTGCGGATTGGGTAGTGAACTTGCATGACTCCAATGCCCCAGAACTCAGTAACTTCAACCGTTTCATGTCCTCTTTGAGAAGACGATTTGAAGACCCCCTGGCTGATCGCAAAGCCCGTGAAAGAATAACAACGATGAGGCAAGGCAAACTCCCAGTGGCCGAGTATACACAAGAATTCCGGGCCATTGCCAGCAAACTGAATTGGCCAGAAGACATCCTCCTTGGCCATTTCAAAGACGGACTACACTATGATCTATATGATGCTTGCCTGCCCCGAGGGGACCCACATCGACTTGAGGAATGGTACGTCTTGGCAGAGGAAGCAGAGATCGACATATTGAAGAGGCACCGCCGAAGAAAACAATGGAGCCGCCCCCCACCTGAGCTGACACACCAACCGGTGAAATCATCGGATACAGCCAAGAAGCAAATGGGGTGTTTCAAGTGCGGAAGAGAAGGGCATCGAGCTGTAGAATGCCGCTCAAAGGCCCCCCAGCACAACCCAGACAGATCCCCAATCAACAAACCCAGAGAGTATTCAGCTAAGCCAAAAGAAACAGCCATGAGAATGATGGAAATTGCAGAAACTCCCACCTCTGCTCACCAAGGGGAAAGAACTCCAGCCTACACCACAGGGCCGGTGGATGCCTCAGATGACAGCTCGGAGGGCGAACCCCTGGTAAGTGGATGCATCACACCCATCTTCAAAACAGTGACTATATTAATCCCCCCCATGCCCGAAGCTGTGAAGGTGAAAGCCTTAATAGACTCTGGCTGCACCCGCTGCCTCATTAGCCCAACACTAGTGGGGAATCTGGGCATCCCATCCAGGAGACTGGAACAACCAATCTCATTTGGCCAGCTAGATGGATCCATAGCAGGGGGGGTGCCAGCTACCCTAGCCACTCTGCCAATACACCTCTCCCTGGGCAACCATGAAGAGGACTTAACGTTTGTGGTGACCCCAGGTATGGAATGCCCAATGATTCTAGGGATGGAATGGTTGAAAAAATGGAACCCCTGGGTAAATTGGAGGACGACAGAAATCAAATTCCCGAAGGGGGACCCTATGGACTTAAAACCCCAAGGGAGGCTACCAGAATCAAGAATAGAAAAAGCATCCATAGGAGAGGAAAAAAGATTAACAGAAATACCAGAGGAATATAGGGACCTTGCTGAAGTCTTCAGTGAGGAGAGGGCGAATGAGCTTCCCCCCCACCGACCCACAGACTGTACCATTGAATTCAAGCCTGGGGCAAAACTCCCGAAGCCCAGATTATACTCCATGAGCCCAAAGGAGAAGGAGGAAATGGAAAGATTTATAAAAAAAAACCTGGAGAGAGGTTTCATTGAGCCAGCCAAGCCTAAAGTGGCTGCCCCGGTCCTTTTTAGAGAGAAGAAGGATGGCTCTTTACGTTTATGCGTGGATTATAGGGCCCTGAATACAATCAGTGAAAGCAACCTATACCCGCTGCCCCTCATGAAAGACATGCTGTCACACCTATCGAAAGGGAAAAATTTTTCTAAACTAGACTTAAGGGAAGCTTACTATCGCGTGAGAATCAAGGAAGGGGACGAATGGAAGACTGCATTTAACTGCCCCATGGGGTGCTATCAATTCAAAGTCTTGCCATTTGGATTACAAGGGGGCCCTGCAGTCTTTATGCAATTAATCAATGACGTTCTAAGGGAGCACCTATTTAAGGGGGTCCTTGTTTACTTGGACGACATTCTTATCTTTACTGAAACAAAAGAAGAACACGTCAAACTTGTCAGAGCGGTTTTAAAGAAGCTGCGAGCCGCTCACCTATATGCCAAACTCTCAAAATGCGAATTCCACCAGGAAAGGATAGACTACCTAGGCTATCGCATATCCCCACAGGGCATTGAAATGGACCCGGAGAAGGTCAAAGCAGTACTAAATTGGGCACCACCCCGCACAAGAAAGCAACTACAAAGTTTCCTGGGTTTTGCAAATTTTTACCGCCAATTCATCCCCTCATTTGCACAGATAGCCTTGCCCCTCACTAACTTACTAAAAACGAAGGGAACATCCTCAGTAAAACCTAGCCAGCCACTAACATGGACAATGGAGTGCCAAGCAGCGTTTGAGAGACTAAAGAGACTTTTTTCTGCCGAACCAGTACTAAGGCACCCAGACATGGACAAGCCCTTCGTAATACAGGCAGATGCAAGTGATGTGGCAGTGGGGGCTGTGCTATTACAAGAAAATGATGATGCAGTATTGCAACCCTGTGCATATACATCCAAGAAACTCACGGAAACAGAACAGCGCTGGCCCGTATGGGAGAAGGAGGCTTATGGGATACGTTGGGCATTACTCACGTGGCGACAGTTCCTGGAAGGCAACAAAATCCCCTTCCAGGTGTGGACTGATCACAAAAATTTGGAAGCCCTGAAAACTTCCAGGAAACTCAATCCCAAACAAGCCCGCTGGTCCCAGCATTTTCACCAGTTCCAATTTAAGCTCAAACATTTACCAGGAAGAAAGAACTTCCTGGCAGATGCACTATCTCGCATGCCCCAATATAACAGCGCACGAACCACAGACTCTAGACCAATAATGGCAGAGTCACAACTGGCAGCGCCAGTAACCACAAGAACCCAAGCCAAAATAAAACCACAACTGGACAGCCAACTGGGATTGAATTCAGAAAAAGTTTGGAAACAGATGAATGGTTCCAGAAAAACAAACATGTGTGCACAATGAGAGACGGATTGCCTTGGGTAGGGGAAAAGTTATATATACCAACAACTCAAAGACTAACTTTCATGCACCTTTGCCATGACACAAAATCAGCAGGGCATTTTGGATTTGTAAAACTTTACACTTAATTAAACGGCAATTTTGGTGGCCATCAATAAAAAAGGACATAGAAAGTTATGTTGCCAGCTGCCCAACCTGTGCATCAGCAAAGAGGTTGCAAGGGAAATCGCCAGGGCTATTACAACCAGTGGCAAGTCCCTCAGCCCCCTGGAGGGAAATAGCCATGGATTTTATAGTGGAATTGCCAGAAAGCAATGGGAATACTGTTATCTGGACAGTCACGGACCTATTTTCCAAACAGGTGCACTTTATCCCTTGCCAAAAATTCCCACTGCAAAGGCCTTAGCAAAACTTTTCATCCAGCACATTTACAGATTGCACGGGGCACCCCAACGCATCATCTCTGATAGGGGAGTGCAATTTACGTCTGCATTTTGGAAGGAATTTTTATCCCTCTTAGGGACCACTCAGGGATTGACATCTAGCCACCACCCTCAAGGGGATGGACAAGCGGAACGGTGCCAGTCGGTACTTGAGCAATATTTGAGATGTTTTTTAAATTTCCAACAGAGTGATTGGACGGACTTACTTCCTTTTGCAGAAGTTGCCTACAATAATGCAGTCCACTCCAGCACAGGCTACACTCCTTTTCAAATAGCCAACGGCCAAAGTTTCAACCCTATGCCAGAGTTAACCCCAAAAGAACCAACGATCCCTTCACTGAAAGAATGGATGGAAAACCTACAAAACACCTGGCCAATAGTCAGAAAATCACTAGATGAAGCTAGGCGGGCATACAAAGCACAAGCCGATAAAAAAAGGGTTGAGCCTACACCATTCATTATAGGAGAAATGGTGTACTTATCTACAAAATACCTAAAGTCCCTACAGCCCTGTAAAAAACTTGGACCAAAATATATAGGACCTTTTCCAATTAAAAGAATCATAAATCCAGTAACAGTAGAATTAGAATTACCCAAAAATCTCAGGCAAATACACCCAATTTTTCATTGCAGCTTGCTGAAAAGAGAGCATCAGTCACCTCTACGGCCAAAAATCCCCCACCACCACCACCTCCAATCATGGTGGAGGGCGAACAACACTTCGAAATAAAGGAAGTCCTTGACTCTAGGAGATATCATGGAGCAACTCAGTACCTAGTTGCCTGGAAACACCTCCCTCCCTCACAAAACGAGTGGGTCCATAAACGTCATGTCAGAGCCCCGAAGCTATTGAAGAAGTTTCACACAGAGTATCCCAACAAGCCTAACTAACTTTTATACCTGTTTTGTTTTCTTGCAGGTGGATCTCTCTTATTGTTAAGAGGGGCCGGATGTCAGAATCCAATTATATTTCATCTTTAATTATCAAATATAGAAACTCCCAATTCTGCCTTCTCTGGATTCTGCCATCAGAGGGAGAGAAGGGGGAGAACAAAGGGGCTTTATGGCCCTCACTTCCTTCAGTACACTTCAAAGAGCTGAATGCTGAATGTGTGTTTATTGTAACATCAAAGCGTTAGCACTAGAGGACCTTATCATAACAAAGAAGGGTATTTGCCTTTCAGGTAGTTATCTGAAGTCTCCATCCAGACGGAAGAAAGAAGAAAGGGGGTGGAACTGTGATACTTGAAACTATCACTGGAAGGGGGGTTGATTGGGTGGGACTACTGGGGAACCCCTTAAAACCTTGAATGGGAGAGCTTGAACCCCAAGTCCTGTCTAGCATGCCTGCAACCATTTTCTCTTAATAAAGGATTCCTATTGGAAGAATTATTCCAAGAGTTCTGTCTTCTTAAGATGCAAAGTGGGGTGGGTCCTTACATTTGGTTAATATTAATCAAGGTTATGCTTTCTGAGGCTTAGCATGCTATACAAACCCAGCTTGTTTGCTTACTTCATTGCTTAGGGTGTGGGACCAGAACAGATGCTGAATCAATCCTGGTTCTGGGGATCATCTTGTCCTGTGATTGGTGCAAAGTGGACATTTTGACCAACATGCACACCAGTTCTCTCTCATTGCACCTCCAGTAAGTAGAGGTTTTTGCTCTTGGCTGCAGATCTCAGCATTTATAGCTCCCTGGCTTGCTGCTTTCTCAGAAGCTTTTACTTTCTTGAAAATTGGAATTACTGTATGTTGGAATTGCAGTCCTCTAACTGTGCTTCTAATTGCCTTTCTCTGTTATCCTAATTGGCTGAACCACATTCGCCTTCTTCGAAATGACCTTCCCTCTCTTCTAGGAATCAGCCAGTTCAGGAAATCAACACGTGTCCAGGAACTTGCCTTGTATAACATCTGGTTTTACTTTGAGCTCCATAAGCTTTTCTGCTTTCCTCTCCCAAATCTGTAGCCCTAAGACAGATGTTCTGTATGTAGCTAATTCTCAACTTACGACCAAAATTGGAACCAGAATTTCCATTGCTAAGCAAGGTGGTTGTTAAGTGAGTTGCACCCAATTTTATGACTTTTTTTATTGCTACGGTTGTTCAATGAATCAGTGCACTTGAGTGAATCATATGATCATTAAGCAAATCTGTCTTCCCCCAATGAGTTTGCTTAGCCAGCTGGGAAGGTCACAAATGGCCATTACCTGACACCTGGGACACGACAACTGTGGTAAATGCATGCTTATTGCCAAGCACCTGAATTTTGATCATGTTCAATCAGAATATAGCTGGAAGGGACCTTGGAGGTCTTCTAGTCCAACCCCCTGCTCAAGCAGGAGACCCTATACCATTTCTGACAAGTGGCTGTCCAGTCTCTTTTTGAAAGATTCCAGTGATGGAGCCCCCACAATTTCTGAAGGCAAGTCGGTCCACTGGTTAATTGTCCTCACTGTTAGGAAGTTTCTCCTTAATTCCAGGTTGCTTCTCTCCGTGATTAGTTTCCTTCGTTTCTTGTCCTGCCTTCTGGTGCTTTGGAAAATAAATTGACCCCCTCTTCTTTGTGATAGCCCTTCAGATACTGGTGTATTGCTATCATGTCCTCCCTAGTCCTTCTTTTCTCTAGACTTGCCATACCCAGTTCTTGCAACCATTCTTCACATGTTTTAGTCTCCAGACCTTTAATCATCTGCAACCATGTGGCTGCAGAGACACTGCAGCAGTCATAAGAGCAAGGACTGGTCATAAGTCACTTTCTTCACTACCACTGTAACTTTGAACAGATGCAAAACAAGTGGTTGTAAGTTGAACACTACCTATATATCCTTCTTTTCCAACAAGGTAGAGAAAATGAGCACAGTGAGGCTTCTGGAGTTCTTTCTGGCTTCTTCACCAACCTACAAGACCCCTCTATTTTTTTTTCTTGTAAATGAAGCAACATATGTGTGCTTCTTTCTGGTCTCTTTTGATATTTTCTGTGTGCACTGGAGAACACTGAGTGGGCTGTAAATGTTCTGGCCTGGGTCACATGACCAGGAGGGAGGGGTTTAGGATGGAGTAATCAGACCCATTTTGAATTCTTGATTCTATTGACTGTCCTATACATTGGAAACTTACTTATTTTTCTGCCTGGATCCAGCTCATTTTCATACCCAATCATTCCTCTGAAGATTTCTCCACTCATGCAATATTTAATCCCATACTGTTCAGTTTTTGCAGAGTTATCCTGCTGACAGACAGATGGGTGGGCAAAGTCCTGAGCCCCTTTGCATCATTCCTTTCCAAATTTCTTTGGTTTGACTATAATAATGCCCATAAGGCATTCTTTAGCTCTGTAATAGGAGGAGAAAATCCATAGGCTTCTTTTGACTTTTATTATAACTACTGTAATAATACCTAATTGACAGCATTCTTTAACCAGAATAGTTGCTCATGGGAGATGGTGCCCTACCTATATCAGTATGTTTATCAACCTTGCTGAAGAAACCTCATTCCACTCCTGAGCTGATAGTGGTAGAGAAAACCTCTCCAAGTGAAAACAGCTGGCCAATCCCAGTAAGGGTTTCTTAATCCTACCATGTAGAATTCCCTTCTCCTTAATTCTCCTGACCCTTTTAAGTGCTGTACTTAAGACAGTGTTTCTCAACCTTGACAATTTTAAGGCATGTGGACTTCATCTCTCAGAATTCCACAGCCAGCATTGCTGGCTGTGGAATTCTGGGAGTTGAAGTCCACATGCCTTAAAATTGTCAAGGTTGAGAAACACTGTACTTAAGAGATCCCGTTTTATTATATGCTCCCTCTCCCAGAATACAGAATAACAGAGTTAGAAGGGACCTTGGAGGTCTTCTAGTCCAACCCCCTGCTCAAGCAGGAAACTTTCTCTGAGTCAATGTTGCCCCCTGAGCACACTGGCTAAAGAAAAACTGTCCCTGCAGTTTTGTTGGCAAGATTTCAGAAGTGGTTTGCCATTGCCTCTTTCTCAGGACTGAGAGACCACAACTAGCCCAAAGTCACCTAGCTGGCTTTGTGTCTAAAGCAGGACTAGAACTCACAGCCTCCCAGTTTCAAGCCTGATTCCTTAATTGCTACCCCAAAATGACTCTCATCTCTCCTCCCCTTAATTTTTTTTTAATTTTTCCTTACATTGGTTCTGTGATGCAAAGTGTTTCTTGTCTATTATTCCTTGGCACCTATTGCTGCATCTTTAGGTATACTCCATTACCTTCAGCTAGTCCAGTATTGTTTTCTTTGAAACATTTATTATTGCTATTCTGGATCAAGTGTGTCTACATTCTCTACATTTTTTTTTCATCTTTCATTCAGAAACTCAAGATAGCATACATGGCTCTCTCACATCCCACTTTATTTTGCCCAGTATCCTATATGGTTAATTATTTAAAAACCAAGAAGAAAGGAAGAAAAAGGAAACCAAAAAGGTTATAAATTCTAGTTATAATAAGATCAAATAAAAATGTCAAAGGAACATTAGTTCTACATATTAAATGATCTTAGATCACTTTAGAACTTCTGATCTTTTTTAAAAAAAATGAGTTGATATCTAATAATTCATGACATTAAACAATGTAACATGTTTTAAATTAAGCAGAGAAATTCCAATACTTTTTTTTTTGAGATGGGCTGGGCTGAGAGAGAATGATTGGCCCAAAATCATCCAGGGAATTTCCATGACTGAGAGTAGACTTGAAGACAAGTTTCCCAGTCTTAGTCCAGCATTTGAACCAGTATATCACACCTCTCTCTAGCAGAACAACGTGTTACCCTAAAAGTTAAATGTTTTTATCACAGAAGATGTTTAGGTGGATGCTACACTTTGTAAAAGAAAAGCTTGTTAACGGTCTGCAGCACTTGAGTTGTGAAGGGAAAACAAATGTTTTGGGGTACACATCTGTGTTCATAGCACCCTCAATTCCAAAAAAGAAGATGCATCTTTGCTTGGAATCAAATAGTTGCCTTGCATCACACTAGGGCAGACATGTCAAACTCGTGACGTCACATGATGTCACGCAACGTTTTGGAGCTTTTTCCCTATTGCCAGCAATGGGGTAGGCGCGGTTTCTTGGTGACGTATCTGGCCTGCAGGCCATCAATTTGACACCCCTGCACTAGGATATCTTCATGAAAAATTCATTCATTCATTCATTCATCATCCATCTCACAATTGAGAGATGGGCAGCTTACAGCAAAGACATCGTTGATTTAAAGCAGGGGTACTCAAACTTGGCCCTTTTATAACTTGTGGACTTCAACTCCCAGAATTCCTCAGTCAGCATGCCTGGCTGAGGAATTCTGGGAGTTGAAGTCCACAAGTCATAAAAGGGCCAAGTTTGAAGACCTCTGATTTAAAGCTTTGTAGATCGATACTACATTTGGCCTTCAGAGTAGATTTTTACCTTTAAACCTGAAACACTGTCTTTTTATAGTAAGTTATTACCTTTTTGGATTTTTTTTTTTTACAAGGGTTTAATATAGGGAGATGGAAATTATTGAAAATAGATGATTGAACTTTGTTGTGGGTTAATGGGTTGGTTTAAAACATTGTTCTTTTTTATTCTCTTTTTCTTTCTTATTACCCCATGATAGGTTACTTGATGTTTATTGAGCTTGGTTGTTGTCTTCCAGATGTTATCTCCAGGTTAGGTAACATTACCAGTGCACTAATGAAACATCTGCAAGAAAATCACCAAGCTCAGACAACACCAAGAACACAACAGTACATCTCAGTTCACTTGAGTTTATATGTTCTCTCCTATTTTCCTGACTTTTTAGAGCCATCTTGTCTCTTTCCCATAGAAAGCAAGAATACAAGCATTACTAGTGCAAGCCTCTTTGGGCAGATTATGATATGAACGCTTATTGCATCGCCGACTCACTACTCTGAGATGAGACTTGAGCAAATAATACTTGTGGAGTCCTCCTCTCTTTGAAATTTCACTTCAGATCCTTGGAGGAAAGAAAAAAGAATTAAAAATAGCACTCGATAAATTAAGCACTAATAACCATCTGGGATTGCCATTTACAGAGCTTTATACTATATTAGATAGCTCTTCCTCCTTCTCAGTCTTTTTTTGGAACCTCTGTCCAGCCTCACTGCCAAAATTCAGTGGCTCAGTTTGCTGCTGGAATTCGCAGGACGTTATAAATACGTTTTCATGCATCTTTGAAGCATGGGAATATAATCTTGCTTGGACGGTTAAAAAGTTCTGGACTTTGCCCCATCCACTCTTTCATTAGAGTGGAATTCAGTATTCCCTTCCTACAGGGGAGGGGGCAAGTCAAGCCCTCAACTCCACTCAAGAATGTCTGCAGTAATAAAGGCTCAACTGTAAATAAACAATAAAGACTAAGTGGGCTTCTGACTCATCCTACTAATGTTTAGGCAATCAAATAGTAGATGACAATCCATTTATAATTTTGAATAAAGAGTGAGGGCAAGAGACTACCACCTCCGGAAGCATTAGTCCTCACTCTGCACTAATCAAATACATGTATAAAATGAAAATAATTACCTCCAGATTTAACAGTCTCCCAAGAGGGGCCACGTGGCAATCAGAGAGTCAAAAAAACAGTTGAGACCATCACTATAGCAGTTCCTCATATGGAAAAGTGTTGAAGTTGGATCACT